GGGATAATGCGGCAAGCATTTCAGCATTGCAACCAAACAACAGGCAACTGGTAAGAGCCAACAGGCAACTGGCAACAGGCAAGCAGCCAAGAGCTAGCGACAAGGTAATTGCAAGCTTCGCTCCTTATTTCGCCCGTTAACAAACACAATACATCATGTCGAGCTAGCCATAATCAATCAATATTCTCCGTATTTTTATATTGCTCAACACACAGTGTGTTGACTGGAGGGGAGCGGCACTAGGGCGAGCACGGGATTTTGTGGCCGTAAATCAGTTGAATGTGATTGAATGTGCAACATGTGTGCGCCGTAAGTTTCAAACAAAAAGAAAATACAATGGAAAACTTGCTCAGAGATCTTGAATATGCAAATTTGTCGTGGATAAAGAGAGAGAGAGAGAGAGAGAGAGTTAGAATAAGAGAAGGAGAGTGAGAGTGAGACAGAGAGTGAAAGTCAAAATGAGAGAGTGAGAGTGTGGCAGAGAGTGAAGAGAATAGAAAGGAGGTAAAGTGTAAGAGTGTAAGAGTGAGAGAGAGAGAGAGACAAAAGAGAAATATACTATCTTTGGGAATAATAAAAAGAATGTTTCATATAGCAGGAGTAAGAGATGTGGATCGGAAGCAAAGCCGATCTGGCTATCCGACAGTTTGTCTATGAGTCCAGCCCTCTGTCTGTGTTCCTCTTCATGCAATTCGTAAAAGACCAAATATTTCAAAACTGTTATTAGGTCCTTCCATTGCAGAATTACTTTACTTTCTGGATCTTAACTCGCACGCTTAAGAGCTTCATGTTTAGTTTTAACAAACAATTCAAGCACTCAATTCCCAAAACTTTAACTGTAATTTACTTTAAAAATTGTATAAATCTATATCCAATTAGGCCAATATATATTCATAGATTTTAAAAATACTTGGAATTTAATTGTGCATATGTAACGAAAATAAATTTTATCAAATATAGAAAATATTTCATCGTTTTCACAATTCTAATGTGCGAAGCTTCTATAAAATATTCCTCTTTTCTCTTCTTTTTTCAAAAAGCAAAAACAAATAAAACATTTATATACAATTATGATTTTAATAATTGCATAAATTTAGGACAACGAACGTGTTTGCACTATTTATTGGTTCTATAAAATATTCCGAAATTGCGTTTGCTGCTGTTGTTGTTTTTGCTGTTGTTGTTGTTGGTTTTCATTATAAATGCGAGATAGGAGCATCTGCGCATCTGAAGCGCCCGCTCAACCATTTGTTTTCATTTCATTAAATTTGCAATTAGAGTTCATTTATGGATTTTGGTTTCGACTGGTCGAGATGGCCGGCATTAACATAAGCTGTTCCGAGTGCGATTAGAGTGCTTCCCGCTCCTGACCATATGTGCATGTTGACAACAGACCAGACCAGAGAGCAACCAATATCTCTCTATGCTATACTATGTATACATATATATATTCCATATATATGTATGTACATATATGAATAGTATTGCATTATATGCAAATAGAATGTTCTGCATGCATTTTACTAATCTATCCTGAAAGCTGAAGCAGAACACAATAAGCCCATTCGCAATGCCAAACCAAAATAAATGTTGAATAAGTAGAAATGAGCAAGTGGGGTGTGCTTGATCAGGACATACTCTGTAGCAAAAGAAATGAGTGTCTAACAAGCTGCAACTCAACAGCAACATTGAAAATAAATAATTTTAGCTATTTTGATCCAGGAATATGCACTGC